GTAGACCGAACGCAAGTTATAAAACAGCTATGGCTACCAGAGAGATTTCTCAGGGACGAGCTCAGGATTCGATGGTAAAGAATGGTGAAATCTGTGTCTTATTATTACCTTTTTCCCCTGATTAAGTACGTACCTCCATAGTTCGATCTCTACTCCGAATTCGTTTTTGTTTTAACATATCTTTGCATTTTTGTTCTTTACTTTGCAACAGGGAGCTGCTTAAAGCCTTCCATAGATCAACTGGTCATAAGCCCTTAAGGATCATATTCTACAGGTATAAATCTATTCATTTGGCGCACACTGGCACATGTATTGCTCGAGGGCCTCAAGTCCCGGTTAGTACTTTTTTCTATTTTGCGACTTTTTTCATATGAATATTTTTTTTCTTGACTATTCTAATTCCAACAGAACATCTAAAATGAGCAAGAAGAAACAACAGTTGATGCAGAAAGCTATTCAGGTCCGTTCTTGTTTGATCTTGATTATAACCATGGGTGATTTTTTGAGTTCTTTTTATCATCTCATAAGATTATCTTTCTTGATTTTAATCAGCTTGCTGAAGCTGTATATGAATATGGAAAAGGTAACTACAAAGAAGCTCTAGAACTGTTTGGTCCAGACTTTGACGCGGTTCACTATAAGGTAATGCATGTTCTTTTTGCATTTATTGAAGAGAATACAGTAAATGATCTAGCCTCTTTCGTGCTCAAACTAGATGATTGGAGCATCGGATTTACAGATGGATGTTTTCAGTGAAATTTGGTACAAATCGTTGTTACTTACCGGCAAATCTTCTAGTGGTACACTCCAAAAAAACACTATTCTCCTGCTTGTCTTTAGTCTTTCGTTTACTCAGCTAACACGGCCTTTTGAACACTGAATTTGTTGCAGCGATTAAAGTATTGGAGAGGAGGATAAAACAGAGAGATGGCGCTCCTTTCTTGTGGCGTTTGCTGGTATTCTTTAAGTTACTTTATATATGCACAATTGTTGATTCAAGCTACGTCTTGTTTACACGGTTTATGAAACGTTGATGTGCTGTGGCAGGAGAAGTGTTACGTTATGGAAGGCAATACAGAAGCTGCCGTAACTGCATGTGAAAAAGCCAAGGCGTTGGAATCTTCATATTTCAAGTTTGATTGATTGAACCAAAAACAGCATCGTTAATTCTATGTTACATTAAATAGTTTAACTCGTTATGGTCGGTCATAGGTCAATGTA